AATATACCATCTGTCGACGACAATCACTATAAAAATGACCATTCCCCATTTTCTACATATTCACTAGGCCTACATATTATTATCACGACACTGTCCAGGAGTATCACAGGTCTGTTTAAGATGACCACTTTTCTCCTCGGCAATGGATGGTTGTTTAACTTTTAAGACTGGTTTAACTGTATCATAATCAAAGATGGAGGGCAGTTCAGGACAGGAAATATTCAACCATTTATGGCATCTTGTTCAGTATAAATACACTTTGCAAAACGACTATTTATTTCACAAGTCACAATTGAACACATCAGCCTCAATTAAAATATACCAAACTTATTAAGTCTAGCTATAGAATTACAAACGTACAAAATGTAATCTTTAACCTTCTTAACTTATCAAAGCTATTGGTCAAAATGTCTGAGGGCTATAATGTAACCCATTTTTTAAAATATCTAAGTGTTTCTGTTGTCCTTGCTGAAACAGAACTCTAATATTACATACCTTCAGTCTTATAATTTGAATCATTTTAACATCAACAGTACCCATCATGTTGTCAGTACAACAATACAATATAAAATGTTGATAAACCTTTAATCTTTAATGATACAGGCAGTTAATTCCTTAGCGAATTAATTTGAGTCAAAATAAGCCTTCTAGATCCTACTGTAACAGCTGTAGGAACTGAGATAATATGAAAATTACTGTTTGGCTGTATCGACAGTGAAAACGTCTGGTTAGTTGTAATGTGTGAAAATGACAGTTAGGTGTAGGCCTATAGAAAACTAACTGAGGCGAACTTCGGGAGCTAATTTCGCGTGCGAACTATTTTTTTCACACTAACCTTTTTGTCATTGTGTAAATCCATACCGGAATTTCACATGGCCGAGTCCGAAATTCGCATGCGAAGATTTTGTTTCGCACAAGGGAGCGAAACTTTTTTCTTCGGCACCCGAATTCTTCGTGAAGTGGGCGGGGCTCATTTCCCGCCAAATCTACTTCCTAGGAATGAAGCAGCATGGAAGCACTATGTAAGCGGGAAAACGTCGAAATATTGATTTCCTTGGTTCGAGAGAGAAGTGTTAAAACTAAGACTGAAAAGAGGTGTTTATTTTCAAGGTGGCCGCCATTTCCATGGCAACCACATACTTATTTTAAGTTTGTGGGAAACTTTCGGGAGTTTATGTAATCTATCTATGCTATCATTTATCGTTTAAATCATGTAATAATAAAAATAGCATTTCACTTACCCCCCCACCTTAAATGCACTTGAATATATATAACTTCTAACATACATTAATTATAACTTAAGATTGCTGTCTGTGCCGCACTGAACCGATGCCATGGCTTCAGTTAGAAATAACGGATATATGAATTTCGGGTATATGGAAGGAGGGCTCTTTTTTCATCGCATCCGAATTTCTTACGCGAAATTCGCACCCGTAGTTCGCATCGGTTTTTCGGGCATATGGAATGCCAGCTTAATACAACAATATAGGACAAACTATGGTTATAGGTCTATACTTCTTTATAATGGTTTTTGCTTCAGTAATATTATATATATTTAATTTACAATTGAAAATACAAGGTTACAAACGAAGAAACTGGAAGCATTTTTTGTGCATAATATTGTCCACCACTTGTTCAGATGCATTAGGCCTAAAATGAAGAAATGAAAACAAAAATTGAAGTTTCATACTCTGTGATACCGAATGTAAGTTCTCACAAAATATTTTATCAAAATTCAGATATTAAATGATGAAAATAAAAAAGCAAAAGAAAAGACAAGAATAATATAGGTACATGACAATTTTTAAAGGAATTAAACAGCTTTCCCATTCTCTTGAAAAAATGTTGCTTTCTGAGCTTAGAACATTTGAACAGCTAGCCGATGATATCATACATTATATGCCACAGTCAGTCTATTGGGAAACTTTTGGGGGCAATGTGAAGCGAAAGCGTTTAAAAGGTTTCAATTTTTTTTTCTTCAAACTTTTGTGCTCAACTGAATTATCCAGAATTTAGAACTACAGTCAAACCTGTGTAAGACGACCACCCATTGTCAAGGAAAAAAGTGGCCGTATAAGACAGGTGGCCGTATTAGGCAGGACTGATCAAGATGAAGAAAACAAACCATTCCCATCTGAAGTCCCAGTCGAAAGTAGCCTCATTGTTGTTGTTTTTGTTGCTGTTGGTGGTGGTGGTTTGTATTTTGTTTGTTATCTATATTTTGTTGCTGATTTTGCGCAAGGGTGACAATAAAACGAAAAGTATCAGACAAGGAAGACCCGAGTGCTCATCAGAACAAACACATAGGTCGCCACCACTCGGCTTCTGTCGCAAATTCATGTTGACGTCCATTGTTCCTTTGTTACAGACTGGGTAAACAGTGACCACTCATGACACTTATGATTTGTGTGTATGAGTTCTGGGCGGTTTGGTACCTATTGATCAACAGTGGGAGGGGCCTATGCAACATGATCGGTTGGAGGGACTACCAAACAACAACGACAAGTGATTGAATTATGACGGCTAGCCCACAACGCCAGGAGCCAATGCACAATTTATGACAAAATGTAATGGAGTCACAAAGGTGGCCGTCTAAGACATGTGTTATTGCTTAGTGTAATAGGGGTTGTGTGTTAAAATATGGTGGCTGCGTTAGACAGGTGCCCGTTTTACACCGTTAAATTATGTAGAAAAAACGCAGGGGGGAAATTGAAAACGGCCGTTTGTACAGGTGGTCATCTTATAGAGGTGGCCGTCAGGGCAGGTTCGACTGTAGTTTTAGCAACTAATTTCATATTCTGCTCTACTTAGCTGTGTGAGAAAATATCTTGAATGAAGCATTTGTTATAATTAGTAATTGTAACTTCAGCAGGCCTACAACATCTTAAATGGTCTCATAAAACTAGTTAGAATTTAGAAGAATATTTGGAAAAGACCTAATATTTAAAAAAGCAAAAATTAAAACTGATATTTGTACATATTTTTGGGACAAAGTAAAACTTGTATAAAAAATTTGATGTCACTATTTACTTTGAACTGAAATCCTAGAAGAGCAAACATTTTGGCACAGTTTGACAGAATTTGACAAAATTCGACTGTGACCTTCAAAATCAAACGCTTGCCCTCAAAAGGGTTGCAAATCAAATTAGTTGTACTGTTACAAATTAGTAGCTTTAGCCTTTCCATGGAGGTAAATCTGGTAAGCTCAAACTCTGTTCCATTAAACCTGATTGGCGCAGTTCACTGGACATTAGAGACTTTTAAGATTAGATTTCCATCTTAGAGCAGGGATGGGCAAACTACGGTTTGCTGGCTAAAAACAGCCCTTCATAGTTTTCTGCGGTTCACAGAAACGTTCGCTGAATTTCAATAAAATGGAAATCAATAAATTTTTTTAAAAGTAATTACATTCCTTAAGATATTAAATTCAAGGTAAGACTGTAAATTATTAGTTTAAGTTTAACTCCTATCTCAAACTCAAGTGTATTTATATATGCCTGCAATTTTCTTGTTCTTTTTTATCAGCTTTACGCAAATGATGACATTGTATTTGTTGCAAATGATAATTTTTTAGACATTTGCTGGTTTTTCTTTCGAAGTAATTACACTTTAAAACCAAATTGCAATGTTATAAAATCCAGTGGGTTTTAATTTTAGAGGGGCATGCCCCCCTGACTTAGACTGACGTAAATAAAATTGGGGGGGGGGTGTTATAAAGGTATGTCCAGTTTTTCCCCATAATTTGATGTTTTGCAATAAGTTTTAAACTACAATGAAAATTGTTTATTTACAACAGTTTTAATGGCCACGTAATGTGTGTGATCTGCAGCCAAAAATACCGCCATTCAACCCCCTTTTAAAGC